CCGCGACACATATACGGACGAGAATACCACCCTCTGCTAAGGTTTCCATTATCTGTGGTATACACCAGCGGGCCAACTGAACACCTCATTGCGAGCTGCAAACACCGCGGCTCACACCGCGGCGCTGTCTGACCTCTGCCTGCGCGAGGCCCGGCGATCATGGACCCAATGGCCATGGCAACGGGACCTGTCATGACGAGCACGCCGAAGCCAACTCTCCTCAACGAATCGCGCCGGCTGTCTGCTCAACCAGGCGCGTCGCCGAACGCCGGGAGAGGGTTGTCTAGCGCGCCCACTCCAAAGCATCCTGCCTCGACAGTCGGCCTGACCAGATCAACTCCAGCCCAAACCTCGGCCGTCGGCGGCGTCGGCGCGGCAATCATATGGGGCGGGATATACCTGGACGCCAAAAACACCCCCAGCGATCACCCTGTGCCAGCGCTGCGGGCACCAGCGAGCCGGAGTCTGCGAACGCTCTCGCCCCCCTGCTCGCACTGCAGAGCCACCCTCGACGACGCGCATTCTCAGGGGCCTGCTTGCACCTGCGGCAATGGTTGGAGGAACACAGACCGACGGCGCGTTTTCTCGCCCTCGCCAAACACTCCCCTGCACCCATCACCAACCAAAGTTCAGCTAGCTGGCGAGCACGAGGACCCACGCGCAGTCCATCAAGCCACTTCTGAAAGACTCTCATTCAGCGCCCAACCCAAGACCCCTGCCACAATGCACCTTCGCTGCCTTAGCCCACTGCGGAAGGCCAAGACCCCGCGCAAAATCAAACCAGACATCCGACGTGCCAAGAATCTGCCGATCGACACTTTCATCGTCTGAACGGCGCAAATGCGACGGCGACTCAGGGCCCCACCCCGAGTTCCCAAGGCAGGCCATCACTGCCGACATGGGGCCGTGAACATACCGAGATCTTTCTTGCACCTGAAAAACCTCTGACGCGCTCAACCAAGTCACTCCAACTCTGCGGACACCAGCGAGCACGCGGGGATACGCAGTCCAGGCCCGAAGCCACTGATGCCAGCAAAGCTGCGGTAACCAAACCAGGGCTGCAACGAGCATTAACCCCGGGGGGCCACCGTCGCTGGGGGGGTCGAAAACAAACCTGTCGCTCACGCTGGCGCTGGGCGCGGACACTGGCGCTGTACTTGAAACGGGCGGCGCGTTCGAAGAGCCACTGCAAACGACGCCCTCTCGGGCTTCAACGACATCAGGAATGCAGGCGCCCACTGGCTTAGAAGCAGACTCAAAATTGGATTCATCGGCGCACAGGGCCTTTCTTCCTCGCGCACTTCTGGGGCGAAGGCCGGGGGCACCAAGGGCCCTAGAAAACTCCGCCTCGTCGCTTTGACCGGGGACATGTTACAATATCACCGACCAGGGCGCGGGCTTCATCGACTGTCTCTCCTCTGGCAGTCGCTGACCTGACTGCGACACAAACTCTGCACTCGCTGGAGCGCGGGCAAGGCGCCAGGGCGACTCATCTGCGGGAGCTTGCCAGCAACAACAGATAAACGCGTGACGCGACACGACTGTCGCAACTTCAGCCCCAGCCCGCAGGGAGGGCCCCAAGGCGCAATGCGATGAGCGCGCGCGCGCCCACGGTGCAACTCAGCACCTGGCCCAAAGATGAAGCAGTCAATGTTTGAGGACCCCTTGGCCGCAGCACCGGTAAACTCCGCGGAAACTCCCCGCGCTGCAGGGCCCCCGCGACGAAGTTGAAGTCCCCGACGCAGGCCCGGCGAAGTCGAAAAGTTTGCGGGAACCCTCCGAAACGATGGAAGCGTCGAAGGTCGCCGCCCCTCGCGCCAGGGGCCGGACGCCCGCGCGCCAGCACGATAACCAACGAATAGGACCGAAGACGGATGATCACAGGCAAGAACCCGCCGTAGCTGTCATGGCCGTCCGCGCACAGGTCGGAAAGGTCCGCGGCCGCCACTGGGTATCGATGCACCTGCCTACAAAGAACAACTTCGCCGCATTCAATGGCTCGCTCTCGCTTGGCATCTGTGAGCCGTTGACCTGTGCTCCAAGCTAGATTGAAAACATGCCTGAGCATCTGCACGCAAAATTTGGCCGCTCACTTCTTGCCCCATGAACCTCCTGCTTGGGTTGTAATCCATCCGGACAAATGCATGGACGTGGATGACTGATTCGGCGTGGACATCACAGACTGGATATGCCTCCAAGACGTTTTCCCAGGAGAAATGAAACAGGAGAAAGAAGTGCGCACGTCATTCATGATCCCTGCCCACCCCGCCGAAAGAGCTGCTGGCGAACACAGACCACTACCCAGACCAGTGGCCTCACCAATACTTGCCGAAATCTGCGTCGCTGCAGATGCCGAGGAAGAATAGGTAGAGCCGCTGCCGCAAGCGCTGTCCGACGACTCCGCCATGGCGGCCGCGCCTGCCGCTGAGCCCGCGCGCGCCGCCACCTGACTTCACTGCCCGCTGCCACCACCAGGCGGTGCCTCAAAACCACCGCCTCGATGCCCGCGAACTCGGTGGCGCTGAGCTCCGCCGCCTTGGCCGCGATCGCCTCTTCGGATGGACCGATGGAAGCCTCAGCTGCGCCACCGCTGCTGCAGCTGCTGCTGGCACCTCCAGCGGGGGCACCTGGCGAAGTAGGCGGCGGCGCTTGCGATGCCTCGCCGCCCCCGCTGCCGCCAGCTGCCTGGCCGTCGTTGCCCGTCCTCTTATCATTCTGGAGCCGCTCCTGGATGGTGGCATTCATCGCCTTGGTCCGCTCGACCCAAACCATGACCTCGCTGGACCCCGCCCAGGCCTTGACCTCGCGGCCACAACGTTCTTGGCGTCCCTCAACCGGCGCTCCAACTCCTGAAGTTCCTTCTTCTCGGCCTCTACACACTCCAAGGCGTCGTTGGAGTGGAACAAGGCCCGTCTACCAGAATACGGAAGCGCTCCCCCTCCACGTTGCTGCCGCCCGACGCATCTGCCACAGCCTCGCCTCTCTCCTGGACTTGAAGTCCTGAGGCGTTGGCCATAGCTTTGATGGCAACTTGCTTGTTGATGCCGGCCTGGGCCAGGAACCCGGCGCACTCAAACTCGCGCGCCTCCGCCTTCGCCAGGGCTCCTCTGCCGCGCATCACTTGCTGCACCGCCATGAAGGCTTCCCTTCAGCGCCCGTTCAGGCGCCGGAGGCCCTGCGCACTGACTCGTCGGCTGTGGCCCTGCCTGATCAGGTCGAGCGCGCCTTGCTGCTGACCACCAGATTTCTCCCAAGACCTGCCACCCTTCTTGCCGATGTCCTGCCCAGGCTCGAAAAGCTTGACCTCGCCATGATATCCATGTCCAGTTTTTTCTTCGGCCTGGACACCTTGGCTGGCCGCCCGAAGTTCCTGCAGGCTCCACCCTGCAGTCAGAGCTGGTCGCTCAACAGGTTCGCGCGGCATCCGTGGCACGTGCTCCACAGGCGGCGCCCTGTAGCAGGAGCCGACATCCCCCGCGTTGCTGCCCCGACCGCCCACGAACGAGCGTGGGAGGCGGGGCTGACCCCAAGCACCACGAGAAGGCGCGGGGGCTGGCCGAGAGGGTGCGTGCAAATTGCGAAGGGGCAAACCCCATGGACCCCTGCTCCCGCTCGCGCCCGTAATGCTTGAGCACGAAAAGGAGGACCAGGAGCATGAGAAGGAAGAAGAAGAAGAAGAAGAAGAAGAAGAAGACGAGGGCGATGGAGGAGAAGGGAAGACAAGCGGAAAGAAGACGAGCAGCATCAATAAATTTGTGAATTCTTGAAGAGCTGAGGGTCATATTGCTTGGCTTGGTCCGGTATGGTGAAATATGCCATCTCCGCAAAAACTGCCAGGATCTAAGGCCACCAGCCCTTCCTCCACCCCTCCCTGCCTTCCGAGGCAGAGGTCCAGTGAGGGCCGTGCACGGGAGGAGCAAGAGCAGGCACCTCCACGCTCGGCAAGGCAAGGAGATACCGACGCCGGCAGTCCCCCTAAGACCTCTCGGGGGGGGGGGAGGGGGGGGGGCGCATCCCCGCCAGGATCTCGGGGCGCATCCGCCCCTGGCAACGAGGGCGTGGCAGCTGCATCGGCGTCGCCTCCTCCTCCTCCTCCTCCTCCTCCTCCTCCTCTGGAGGCTCGGCGCCAGCCCTCCAAGGCAGAGGTCCTGCGAGGGCATGGGGCGTTTCGGTATACTTAGAGGCCTCCCAGACGGGGTCCGAGCAGATGGGGTCGCAGGATCGCGTCGCATTCCCGATGCATCGCCGATGCATAGACGATGCATGGGCAAAGCATCGGCGGTGTCGGCGATGAAGCGGCGACGTCGGCATGGAGAAAACCAGGCTCCACATCGAGCTGCATGGCCGATGCGTCGACGATGCGACGCGATCCTCCGCCACCATCTACTCGGGCCCTGATTGTGAAGCCCAGAAACTCTGCCTCCTCTGAACGCCCGAGATCTAGCGGACGGGTGCCTGGTCCACGGATCGGGGAAAACGTCCCTCCGACAGCACGCCGCCAGTGCCGCCGGATTTGTCGACGGAGCGCCTCGATGCTGCATAGACGAAGGACCCGTCGCCACTCCGCGCGCCTCGATCCATGCTTGCCCTTCCTCGACAGAGGCAGGCAGCCCCCGTCGTCTTGCTGCTTCCGCTTCGCCCACCCCAGAAGGGTCTCGACCCAGTCCCCGGGACCGGCTTCTCACCCCGAGCCGTTTGCTTCCGGTCCCGGGGCCCAGCGAGGACCCCCCCTGCCATCGCTCGGACGTCCATTCCCTGTGTGGTTTGCTCGGTTTCGCGCGTGGCTTTCTCGCCAAATGATCAAGGATGCTCCTCGATGGCCCTCGCCGAAGGCACACGTCCGAGCGATGCCAACAGGGAGCTCCCGAGCGAAGTGAACCCCACCCTCCCCCTCAGAAATCGTGGGGGGTAGGGGGTAGGGTTCGCAGGTGGGCCCCCTAGCCAAGCCCCCCGAGGAGGAAACCGATGCCTCGAGGCCCACGCGCCCCCCCCCCGGTGGCCTTCGGGTCCACCTCCTCGGAGTTGAAGACCGCGTAGAGCGCCCAGTGGAGGAGCCAGGTGCGCTGCGCGGGCGGCCCGTGGCCCCCTCCTCCTCCGCCTCCGCCTCCTCCTCCGCCTCCTCCTCCTCCTCCTCCTCCTCCTCCCCTCCTCCTCCGCCTCCTCCTCCTCCTCCTCCGCCTCCTCCTCCGCCTCCTCCTCCTCCTCTCCGCCTCCGCCTCCGCCTCCGCCTCCTCCTCCTCCTCCTCCTCCTCCTCCTCCTCCTCCTCCTCCTCCCTCCTCCTCCTCCTCCTCTGGCAGCCGAACACGCCGCGGTCGGCTTTCCCCCCCCCCCCGCGCGCGCGGGCGAGCGCGCAGAGGCCACCTCGCGAGCCGCTGGAGGCCACCAAGAGGACCGCGCCGAGACGGCCCCGGAGGCCCCCAAGGGGCCCCAAGACGGCCCAAGAGGCCCCAGAGACGGCCCCCCAGGGCGACCCCAGAAAATGGACCGAGGGGCCGCGAAGGCGGCCCAGTAAGAGCCCGCGAGAGCGCACTGTCGGCTGGGGCACGGACCTGGGTCGGGTGGCCCAGGTCAGGTCTCCCAAGACCAGTCAGCACCGAATCGGCAATTCGGGTCGAATCACAGTGTGCATCGGATCGGCCAGCATCGGCACGGGATCGAAATCGAGTCGGATCGGCTGCGCCAGGATGCACAACAGCGCCATGCCAGCATCGGGCCGCATCGGACCGTCGGAACATAGGAATCCACTCGGATCGGGCCGGCCGCAGTCGGCATCGAATCGGATCGATCGGATCGAAATGGACGCTGCTCACCTGACCTGACATGGGCCAGCTGACCTGGGCTCCCCGCGCGTGCGGGCGAGCTCGCACAGGCCGCCTCGGGAGTCGCCAAGGCACGTCAAGGGCTTAACGACTTCTGCCGTCCCTCGACTCGCGCTGAGCAGCCACGATTTACTCCAAAGTTCCTTGGAACTCTCAGCATGTACCTGGATATACCTCCATTGACTTGCCTTTCCCTTGATTTTTCTGCTTTGATCCCCACGAGTCGATTGGCGAAAAGTCGTCAAGCCCTCAGGGAAAGGCACCCGACCTGGCGCACCGCGCCCCGCGAGGCGCAGCGCGCGATCATCTCCGCGCGCCCTCGCGCCACCGCGCCGCGCCCCCCGGAGAGCGGCAGCCGATCTGGCCCAGGGCGCGGCGCGCGGAGCGCGGGCATCTTTGCGCCCCCACGGGCGAGCCAGGAGACCATGGGGCACACGCAAAACGACCTCCTCCTCCTCCTCCTCCTCCTCCTCCTCCTCCTCCTCCTCCTCCTCCTGCTCCTCCTCCTGCTCCTCCTCCGCCGCCCTCCTCCTCCGCCTCCTCCTCCGCCTCCTCCCTTTCCTTCTCCTGTTCCTCCTCCTCCTCCGCCTCCTCCCCTCCTCCACAACTCCTTTTCCAAATTTTCCCTGTCGCACACCGAGCCCAGCTTTCAGAGCGGGCCATGCGTTTCGCCTGAGAATTCTTCACAAATTATGAGTCTGAAACTCAAAAAAAAACAGTTTCACACAAGATGGCGGGCGGGTCGTTTGCCAAATTGTGGTTCTCGCCTGAGCACCGCGCACATTCGTTTCAAAACAAGTGCAGGAATTTCACCGATTGAGGGCGGCTCCTTTTCAAAATGTAGCCCTCGCTTTAGCGCCGCGCACACTCGTTCTAAATTTTGCAAGGAGCTTCACGGATTGAGGGCGGGTCGTTTTCAAAATGTGGCCCTCGCCTTGGCGCCGCGCACAGTAGTTCCAAAATGTTGCAAGGAGTTTCACGGATTGAGGGCGGGGCGTTTTCAAAATGTGGTTCTCGCCTTGGCGCCGCGCACATTCATTCATATAATGTTGCACGAGCTTCACGGATTGAGGGCGGTTCCTTTTTTTAAATGTGGCCCTCGCCTTAGCACCGCGCACATTCATTCATACAATTTCGCAGAGTTTCACGGATTCCCATGATCAACGTACCAGAAACTACGTTTTCGAAGGATTCAGGATTACGCGGGCGCAACAGTCATGTTGATTCGCGGTGTTGAACGCCCACATGGCTTTCTGGCACGGCTCCGGATTGTCAAGACGCAGCAGTCAGGTTGATCCGTGTCGATGACATCCCGAGAACGAATTTTGGCAGGCTTCAGGGTCTTCAAAGGTGTCTTCCAACGAGGCAGTTCCCTGAATGGGAATGAACCGTTGTAGGGGCCTATGAAGTAGGAGCTCGGAGGGAGGGTTACTCCAATATCGTTGATGACTCTTTGGTTTACACTGGTTTTCCTCCTCCTCTTCCTCCGCCTCCTCCTCCATTCTTCTTCATTATAAATAGTTTACCCCTGTCGCACCCCGAGGCCAATTTTTAGAGCGGGCCGGGCGTTCCGCCTGAGACGTCCTCACCCCTTGTGACTCTGAAGCTTTAAAAGTGGCAACAACTTCACAGATGGAGGCCGGGTCGTTTTCCAAATGAGGCTATCGTCTTAGCGCCACGCAAATTCGTTTTGAAAAAAATGTGCAAGAGCTTCACGGATTGAATGCGGGTCGTTTTTTTAATGTGGCTCTTGCCGAAGCACCGCGCACATTCGTTCAAACTAAATGCAGGAATTTCACAGATTGAGGGCGGCTCCTTTTCAAAATGTAGCCCTCGCATTAGGGCCGCGCACACTCGTTTTAAAATTTCGCAAGGAGTTTCACGGATTGAGGGCGGGTCATTTTCAAAATGTGCGCCGCGCACATTCGTTGTAAAATGTTGCAAGATCTTCACGGATTGAGGGCGGCTCCTTTTCAAAATGTGGCCTCCCCTGAGCGCCGCGCGCACTCGTTTTAACAATTTGCAAGGGTTTCACGGGTTCTCATGATCAATGTACCAGAAATGGTGTTTCTAGAAAGAATCAAGATTACGCGGGCGCAGCGGTCATGTTGATTCGCGGTGTTGAAGGACCAAAAGTGGCGTTCTAGCGCGGCTCCGGATCGTCAAGACGCAGCAGTCAGGTTGATCGGTGTCGATGACATCCCGAGAACAATTTTTGGCAGGCTTCAGGGTCTTCAAGCAGTTGTCTTCCAACAAGGCAGTTCCTTCAATGGACATGAACCGCTGTAGGGGCCTATGAAGAGGGAGCTTGGAGGGAGTGTTAATCCCAACAACGTTGATGACTCTTCGGTTTACTCTGTTCCTCCTCCTCCTTCTCCTCCTCCTCCTTCTTATCCTCAGCCTGGAGCCTGATGGAAATGGAGCTTGTCACACCCGCTGCCAGACACCTCATCCTGCCTGCACTGTTCCTCCTCCTCGTCCTCCTCCTCCTACTCCTACTCCTCCTCCTCGTCCTCCTCCTCCTCATCATCATCAGCATCAGCATCACCATCATCATCAGCAGCAGCATCATCATCGTCATCAGCATCAACAGCAGCAACATCGTCGTCCTCACCGCATCATCATCATCATCATCATCATCATCATCATCATCATCATCATCATCAGCAGCAGCAGCAGCAGCAGCAGCAGCATCATAATCATCTCCATCACCTTCGTCAGCAGCATCAGCATCATCAGCATCATCAACATCATCACAATGATCGCCATAATCAGCATTATCGTCGTCACCATCATCAGCAGCAGCATCAGCATCATCATCAGCATCATCATCATCATCATCATCATCATCATCATAATCATAATCATCAGCATCATCAGAATCATCATAATCATCAGCAGCAGCATCATCATCGTCATCATCAGCATCGTCATCATCAGCATCATCATCAGCATCAGCATCAGCATCAGCATCATCATCAGAATCAGCATCGTCCTCATCAGCAACAGCATCACTATCATTGTTGACAGTATCGTCATCTCAATAATCCTCCTCCCACTCCTCCTCCCACTCCTCCTCCTCCTCCTCATCCTCAACATCATAATCATCACCAACATCATCATCAGCCCCATCAGCGTCAGCATCATCACCATCAACAACAACCACATTATCATAATAATCATCATCATCATCATCATCATCATTATCATCATCATCATCGTCATCATCGCCACCATCATCATAATCACCACCCTCATCATCAACATCATCATCATCATCATCACCATCATCTCCAGCATCAGCATCAGCATCAGCATCAGCATCAGCATCAGCATCAATATGATCATCATCACTATCATCATCGGCATCATCGTAATCATGATCATCGTCATCATCAGAACCATCCTCATAAACATCATCATCAGCATGAGCAATAGCAGCATCATCATCAGCATTATCCTCATCATCATCATCATCATCATCATAGTCATCGTTATCATCATCAGCATCACCATCATAATCATCAGCATCAACACCATAATCATCAGCATTATCATCATCAGCATCATCACTAACATCATCATCATCATCATCATCATCATCAGCATCATCATCATCATCACCAGCAACATCATCAGCATCATCAGCATCATCATTATCATCATCAGCATCATCAGCATCAGCATCATCATCAGCATCGTCATCGGCACCATCATGATCATCAGCAGCAACAGCAATATCAGCATCGTCATCATCCGCAGCAACATCGTCATCATCATCATCATCATCATCATCATCAGCATCATCTTCATCTTCATCAGCATCAGCATCAGCTTCATCATCAGCAGCAGGATCATCAGCAGCACCATCGTCATTATCATCATCAGCATCATCATGATCATCATCATCGCCACCATCATCATCATCAGCAGCAGCACGATCATCCTCATCACCAACATCATCATCATCATCATCAGCATCATCATCATCATCGGTATCCGCATCATCATCATCGCCACAATCATAATCACCACCACCACCACCACCACCACCACCATCATCATCATCATCATCATCATCAGTATCATCCGGCGGCGTCGGGAGCGACATTCGTCCCGCGCTGCCCGCAACGGCACAAGGGCGCGGCGGGTGCTGCAGACGACTGGCAGTGAGCAGGCGCAAACCGCGGCCAACGAGTCGCACGGCCGCAGGAAGAAGTGCGCGCGCGCTCGCTCACACAGTGGGGGCTTTGACCTAAGGAACGCTAAATAAGGAACGAGGCCCCTTTTTCCCATCAGTTAAAGTTCGATTTCCCATCGAAAACCTGAGGAAAACCTAAGGCAACCTGCGAAACAATCAAGGAACACGGAGCCCCTCCCCAACGAAAAGGGTTCCTTCTTCAGGGCCCCGACTGTATAGGATCAGTCAACATCAAATCCGGAAATCGGACAGGCTCTGAGCGCTCGTCGGATCGGGCCGCCTCGGCTCGGAGCCCAACTCGGATCGGATCGGATGCGTCGGGACGAACAAAAATGTCATGCAAACATTGGGCTCAATCAGCTATGCCACCAAGGGTAATTCTGGGGTAGGCAGAGTCCCAGAGAGCCACCAAAGACACGCCAGAGGCCCAGGCCTAGCGCTCACGACGAAAACATCATCGGCATCAACATCATCATCATCATCATCATCATCATCATCATCATCATCATCATCATCATCATCAGCATCAGCATCATCATCATCATCATCATCATCATCATCAGCATCATCATCATCATCAGCATCATCATCATCATCATCATCATCATCATCACCATCACCATCAGCATCATCATCATCATCGTCATCATCATCGTCATCATCATCATCATCATCAGCATCATCATCATCGGATGGTCGGAATACCATATTCCAATCGGGTCGGGGCGGCCAGAATCGGAATCGAATCGGATCGATCGGATCGAAGTGGACCTTGGCTCGTGCCGCTCTTCTTGAAGCTCGTCGCGCGAATCGGGCCGATCGCCTCTTGAAGGGAAGCTCGTACGCCGTCGCCTTTTCCCCGCATCATCGACCGTCGACGCGCCCGCTCTCCATCAGCTCCGTGACCCTGACATGGAATGCCTCAGATGATCAGATGGGTCGAATCCGCTTGCGACACAGGCTGGAGCACCCCTGCATCTAGTGCGCCCGTCCAGTGGCCGACACCAATAACAAGCGTGATTGGCCCTACTGGTCGGCCAATCCGCTGAATCGCGAGGCCAGCCGAAAGTCGCACACGTGCCGAAACAGATGCACGCTGCGAGCAGGAACGCCTCAGGGCAATAGCGCGACCATGTCCTCGAAAGTATGTGCGTCTCACCCCGCTCAATTTTAAACAGGAGAGGTGCATCGAAGAACAAGAATCATCGCCGCCACCACCACCACCATCATCAGCATCACCATCATCAGCATCATCATCATCATCAGCAGCAGCATCAGCATCAGCATCAGCATCATCACTATCGGGATCATCATCAACAGCATCATAATCATCAACGACATCATCATCAGCATCATCATCGCCCTCATCATCATCACCACCAGCATCGCCATGATCGCCATCGTCGTCATCATCATCATCATCATCAGCATCATCATCCTCCACCTCCTCATCCTCCCTCATCGTCATAATCATCCTCATCATCATCGAAGTCCGCACTGACAACATCGCCACCACACCGACCACAGTATCACCATCTTCATCATCATCACCATCATCAGCATCACCATCAACGTCACCATCATCCTCCTCCATCATCGTCATCATCATGATCGTCGCCATAGACATCATCATCATGCTCCTCATCATCAGCATCATCATCGTCAACCTCATCATTATCATCCTCATCGTCATCATGTTCGTCTTTATCAGATTTTCATAGTAGGCATCATCATCAGCAGCATCATCATCAGCAGCATCAGCAACATCGTCATCATCGTAACCCTCATCAGCATCAGCAGTAGCATCATCCACATCATCATCATTATCAACAGCATCATCATCGTCGTCGTTACAAGAATCAGCAGCATCATCATCAGCAGCGTCATCATTACCATTGTCGTCGTCATCGACATCAGCATCAACATCATCACCTTCATAGCTACCACAACTGTCATAACCATCATCGTCGCCATTATCATCGTCATCGTCATCGTAATCACCACGATCATCATCATCATCATCATCACCATCATGATCATCATCATCAACCGCATCATCAGAATCGGCATCATCACACTCATCAGCATCATCATCATCAGCAGCAGCATCATCATCACACTCATCATCATCGTCGTCGTCGACGTAGTCGTCGACGTCATCATCATCATCATCAGCAGCATCATCATCATCAGCAGCAGCATCATCATCAGCATCATCATGATGGCGCAACCTTTGGCGCAACCGACGGAGAACAAACGGTTGAACCACTGTCGCAACTGATGGTGCAGCATATAGAGATCGTGGGGTAGAGGGATGAAGAAGGGAGGTAGGAGGGACTTATTGCGCAACCAACGATGCATCATATGGTGCAACATCGGTGGCGGTATATGGCGCAACCTATAGTTCAACACATGGCACAACCCTTGACGCAAGCTACACTGTAAGCTATGGCGCAACCTATGGCGCAACAACTGCTGCTATATCTGGCGCAACCTATGGCGCACCATGTGGTGCAACCTATGGAGCGTGGGGGAGGACGTAGGATGCGGAGAGGACGGGAGAGTGCCGAGAAGCACGGAGGGGGAGGAGGAGAACGACGACAACGACGAGGATGTCGAAGCCGAAAACTCGGACGGGCCGCATAGTAGCGTGACTTCACAGCTTATGCAGAGCTATGCCAGATATACGCTCGCGATTTCGGGTGCGGGGCGATGGCTTCAACTTTCCTCTGGGAAACTTCAGGGACCCCAGAAGCCCCCAATGCAGCCCATGACGGCCCCAAGAAGGCCCCAAGACATTCCAAGAACCCCCCAAGGCGGCCCAACAAAAAAAAACTCCAGGACGGCCACCAAACCCGCACAGGTGCTTCCAAGATGGTTCACCTGAGCTTCTTCGGGAGAGCTCCGTAGATCCATCGCGGCGAACACGGCCCCACGAGTACCGACGAGCTCTAAACGACCCCAAGCAGCTCCCAAGAGGATCCGAAGAAGCCCCGAAGAAGCCTAAAGAAGCCCCCGAGGCCACCAGGGCGACTTCAAGAGAGGGCGGGGGAGGGAGGTGGAGAGAAGATGAGGAGCAGGAGAAGAAGCACGAGGTGAATGTTTTCTTACTCGGCGTTTCGATATTGGGTGAAGGGGGGGAGGGGGGGGGGTCTGGCTCCGGACCTCTGCTTCATGCTACTGCTTGCAGCAGTGCGTCCTGTGGGGGAGGCTCCGCCTGCCTGAACCAGGCGCCAAAAGCAACCAAGCTCTTCTCCGGGGGGGGGGGGGGGGGGCGAGGGCCCGCGCCGATCGGCAAAATAAGGAATAAGAAAACGATCACCAGCCTGGGGACGAGGAATGGGTGTTTCAGATACGCGCCAGTTCAGACAGGACACCGAGCTAGATCAGGTCTTACAATCAGCGGCACGGCAACATGCCTTGGAATGTCTATATGGTCTCACATTCGCCCCAACCATGAAATTCCGAACGCATCGCTGCGCCTTGCCCTGGGCGAGGCCACGCGAACCACAAACATCGGAAGTCTCGGCCCACGTCGTTTTCCGCCCGCAAACCCCACGCCGAACCAGGCGCACCCTCCTCCCAGAGGTGTGCCCGACGACGACGACGACGACGACGACGACGACGACGACGACGACGACGACGACCACGAGAGAAACTCACAGCGAGGGAACAACAACAAAAAAAAACGAGAGGAAGGACGGGGGGGACGTGGAGACCGAGGACGAGGAGGACGAGGAGGACGAGGAGGACGAGAAGGATGGGGAGAGTGGAGGACGGGAGGGAGCCCGCATTGGCCCGAGATCTCCGTGATCCATCCTCGAGGAAGGCTCAGTGGCCCGCAGGGGGACGGGGGAGAAGGAGAGAGGGGGTCAGCTGCAGCGTGTGACTAATGCACTGATGCCCCTCCGAAGGCTCGCAGCCCACCTCAGGTCGATTCCTGAGGGGCGGCCAGGGGCCACGAGATCTCGAGCACCGAGGACGTGCTCCTCGCAGCCTCCGGCTGGATCCATCCCGCGGTCGACGGGGGGAAGAAGGGGAAGCGGGCAAGTGAGCGGGTGCGGGCGCGAGAGGGAGGTTTGTATGGGGGGGGGGGCACTCGTGCAACGAACTGATCTCACTCCAATGGAGCTCGCGTCCTGATGCTAGTAGACGTCGGTCTGGATTTGACATACCGAACTACAATAGGAGCTCGACCACAAGAAGCCTTCCACAAGACACCTAGCCCTGAGACCCCAGGACGTTCATTGATTTTTGTTGTGGGAACGTTGCGCTTTCCATAGCGAAACCATCGAAACCCAAGAAACCCAGGGCACCCTGGAGGCAAGCAGAGTGCTTCTTGGCATGGGTTTCCACTGTAACACGCACACACACACACACACACACACACACACACACACGCACACACACACACACACACACACACACTTGTGAGGCAACGCCCACGCCCCACACCCGCTGGGGTACACTCCCAGATCCCGCTGCGAGAGGAGGGGAAGGGGACAGTGCAGAGCGGACAGTGGACGGGGGAGGAGGAGGAGGAGGAGGAGGAGGAGGAGGAGGAGGAGGAGGAGGAGGAGGAGGAACAGGAGGAAGAGGAGGAGGAGGAGGAGGAGGAGGAGGAGGAGGGGCAGGGGCGGGAATGGGAGGGGAGAGGGGAAGCACGCCGAGCTGCCCCGCTCCTGCAGGAGGACCTCCCGCATCGGCATCTTCTGCGCGGCGTTCTCGGCCTTCTCGGCCTCTCCCACGGCCGCCCGGGGGCCCAGAGCGGCCAGGGGGGGCCCAGCGTCAGCCAAGCAGGTCCTCCCCGAGCCAACACGAGGGGCAGCGATCCGAGGGACCGGCTCAAGGGGGGAGACATCGAGCTTGAATCGGCGATGCATCGCCGCTAGATCGGCGATGGGCCCCCGATAGCGAATCCACTCGTTCCTGGGCGGGGTGGGCTATCAGGCCCCATACTGGCGATCAGTGGGCACTTGGGGGCCCATGCGTTCCCCCTGACCATCTTTGTCCCGACAACAAGGCGCAAGAAGCGCAAACAACAGGGTGGTGTCGATTGCTTGACTTGACAGGCCCCCCGATCTCACTTTGCACGGCGCCGCGCGCGGCTCGATCATCTTCGCGCTCTCGCCCGCCGCCCCCTGCCGAAGAGAAAGATTGTGCGCGCAAGATCCTGCAGCGCAAAGCGAGATCATCCTCGCGCCCCTGCGGGTGGACTTAGGACTCAGGCTGAGGGTGGCCTGTCGGAAGGCGCCAACTGGCACAGACCCTGGCCGGTCCACCCTCCTGCCTTGGCCAAGGAAGCAGACGCCCAAACACACACACACACACACACACACACACACACACACACACATACGTACTGTTCCTCAAACTGCGAGGCGATAAAACCGTCGCGAAGCGCTATGCCAGCACACACACACACACATAAGCGAATATACACCTTGCGTAGCAGATGGGTGGACTGGAAGGGGGCAGTCGCTTGCATAGAAAACGCTCAATGTGGATGCACAAGGACAAGGCCGAAGCGCCCATGTAGCGCAGGAAAACGTAAGCACCAGACTGGCCAGGGAGGAACACATACACGTACATGCACACAGCCACCCACCCACCCACCCACCCACCCACCCACACACCCACCCACCCACCCACCCACCCACCCCCCACCCACCCCCACACACACACACACACACACACACACACACACCCATCCTGGGTCAAAGATAGACCTGGCCAGGATCGGTGCAGGTGTATGGTTGACGCCCTCCGATGTGGTGGCTTCTGGGGAGGGCCTGCGTGGTTGCTCCCTCGGGAGCCCTCGCGCCCCCCCCCCCCAAAGGACGGCCGAGCGACCGCGGGCCTTCTCCAGCTTGTCGTGGATGTCCAGGATGAGCTCCGCGGCGACCTTGAAGTCCTGCGCCGGCAGGCGAGGAGGTCCGAGAGGAGGGCGAGGAGCGGAACGCGCTGGACGAACCGACGAGCCCGCGCGTGCCCGTGAGGGCATGGCCTGGGGGCCGCAGCCTCGGCAGGGAAGAGCCTGGAGTCTGCCAGCCCTCTGGGCGCAGGTGGCACGACGAGGTTGAAGGGGCCCTGGGGGACACACACATAAATACACACAAATGAAATTAATCCCCATATTTTCCCATATTTTCTGGGTTTTTGTCTTCCCCCCCACTTCCCATATTTTCCCATATTTTCCCGGGAATCGACGATTAATTGTGTCTGTATGTTTTTTCCCCTCCTGAGAGGTCTCCCTCCCCTCGTCCAGAGCCCCCTCTTCCCCATCGGGGAGGTCCCCCATCACGGGCCTGGACCGGGCGGGCGCGAGGAGTTGGAGCGTACAAGAGGGCCCAAGATCGCTCCAGGATGGCTGCGGACGCCTCAAGATGGCTCCCCAAGATGGCACAAGATGGCCGAAGCCGACACAAAACAGCTTCCGACGCACCTCCGGGAGGACTCAAGACGGCCCCAAGACGGTCCCAAGTGCCCTCCGAGCCATCCGAGGAACCTCCAAAGAGGCCAACATCGTCGAACAAATACAGAGCTGTTGTGCGCAGTGTAAGCTCACTGGCCGTGTCGCTCCCGATCGGCCTCCGAGGCCTCAAGATGGCCCCAAGATGGCCCCAGTGAGCCCCAGAAGAAGCCTCAAGAGGCCCCCGAGAGTGCCGCAAGGAGGCCCGGGGGACAGCTATCCGGCCTCTGAGGGTGGGGGCAGATGTCTGGTCCCTGCCCGTTTGAGCCGTGGGGCCCACGATCGCCCCAAGAGGACCCCAAACGGGCCCCAAGAACTCGAAAGAGCCCCGAGACGACCCCAAGACCTCCCAAAAGAGCTGCCAGAGGGCTCCAGGATGGCCCCGAGAGAGTCCCAAGACGTCCCCCAAGAGGAGCCCAGGATGACCCCAACATAGCCCCAAGAGCCCCCCAAGAGGCTCTTAAAACAACAAAAGATCCACGCAGGTGCTTCTCCCCTGCATGCTCCTACGCTTCCATGGTCTAAGCAACTCACCTGGCCATCGTGTCCGGATGAGCTGGTAGGGACACGCGAAACGTCAAACATTCAAGCAAGTGACGCGGTGCGTAAGCGGATTCGCGCGTGGCCACCATTCTGGTCATGCGAAGAGAAGAAGCAAGAGAAAAAGGAGAAGGAGGAGAACAAGCGGGCCAAGTATATCGAGAAGCTCCAACCCATCATCCAGTCTGAGGTTTGACTATTCGGTCTGAACGCTTCTGGGCCGCAAGGTCAAGGTCCGACTGGTGGTTTGGATACCCTTGGCCAACCTCTGGGTTTGTGGTTCTGTCGATCTCGGCGGCCAGAACCTGTCAACGTTGCCCCCGACCCCCCACCCCTTCCTCTCCTCCTCCTCCTACTCCTCCTCCTCCTCCTCCTCCTCCTCCTCCTCCTCCTGATCTTGCCCCCTCCTCCTCCTCCCTACTCCTCCTCCTCCTCCTCTTCTCCTCCTCCTCCTCCTACTCCTCCCTCCTCCTCCTCCTCCTCCTCCTCCTGCCCCTTCCTGCTATCCTGTCCCTCCTCCTCCCCTCCTCCTCCTCCTCCTCTCCTCCTCCTCCTCCTCCTCATCATCATCATCATCCTCCTCCTCCTCCTCCTCCTCCTCCTCCTCCCCTGGAACGGGCTGGAAGTACGCACCTAGGCTTCCCAACGCGTGGGATGCTGGAGCGTCTACACACCGAATTTCTTCGACGAACTCCTTGGATCATCGGCCGACCCGACGACGTGGACATCTCGAGCCCAGCCGACCCCACTCTGCGCTCAGCCTTCGGCTCCTCCAGTGAAAGAAACCATGATGGCCCCAAATGTAAGGAGAAGGAAACGCACCACCACCACCACCACCACCACCTGGAAGATGGAGGCAGAGGGTGGTCAGGGGTGGTGGTGGTGGAATCTGTCGTTTCGGCCGCTCTCGCGGGACATCGGGCACACCCGCACCCCGCACACCAGCTTCTCCCCAATCCACCAGATGGTGGTGGTGGTGGTGGTGGTGGTGGTGGTGGTGGTGGTGGTGGTGGTGGTGGTGGTGGTGGTGGTGGTGGTGGTGGTGGTGGTGGTGGTGGTGGTGGTGGTGGTGGTGGTGGTGGTGGTGGTGGTGGTGGTGGTGGTGGTGGTGGTGGTGGTGGTGGTGGTGGTGGTGGTGGTGGTGGTGGTGGTGGTGGTGGTGGTGGTGGTGGTGGTGGTGGTGTGGTGGTGGTGGTGGTGGTGTGGTGGTGGTGGTGGTGGTGGTGGTGGTGGTGGGTGGTGGGTGGTGGTGGTGCGCTTCCTGCGCTCAACAAACAGGCACCCCCACCGCCGACGGCGGCACCCGCGGGAATCCCCGGCAGGCGGGGCGCCCAGACCTGGGCTGGGGGGGAGACTTCGGCGGCCTCCGAGGCCGGCGCCCGAGCGTGCGCCGCTCCCGAAGAGGTATCGCACCACGGGTCGCGGAGCCCGCTCGCCCAGCCTGCCTCACCCCCCGCTGTGGTCGGGAATGGGGGGGGCCACGTGGGGTTGCGAGCCTTTGGAGTCCCGAAACGGTGCGGTGACGGACCGTGCGGTGACCTCCACATCCCCCAAGACCTCACCGCACGGTCCGTCACCGCACGGTCCTTGGGACCCCGGAGGCCCCTGTCGCCCGAGACATCCTCGGAGAACGGCCCGAGTGCCAAAACCGTGCGGTGACCCCGCATCCCCACCGACTCACCGCACGGTGTGGTCACCACCCCGTTTGGGGGCCCCCGAGAGTCCCTCCTCCCTCCTCCTGGGCCCCGGCCCTTCCTCCCTCCCCCGGTGGCCGGGCACTGGTCGCCGGCCCGCGCCGGGGAGCACGGGCGGCCGGCGCGCGCACGGGCCGGAGGAGGTCACGCCCGCAGCGACTGCCTCGAGGCGGTGCCGGGCGGCGGCCGCAGCTCGGACTCCTCGGGGCCGGGACGCTCGGGCCGAGCGGCGAGACAAGAGGAGGAAGAGAGGGGCGAGAAGGACGAGGATGGGGAGGAAGAGGAGGAAGAGAGGGGCAGGAGGAGGAGGAGAAGGAGGAGGAGGAGGAGGAGGGGGAGGAGGAGGCGGGGGGTCTCGCGCAAGACGACAGAGCGACCGTACGCGGCGGCTTGCGCGGGCCGCCCGCCAGCGCGGCAGGCTCCGCTGGAGGCGAGGGCGCTCTCGCGCGACCTCGCGCGGGAAGCTCAGGTGCCAAAGGCCGCGCAGCTGACCCCGTTTTCTTCCGTCGCTCAGATGGCCGACTTCGGGCGCGCCGAGGAGGAGGGCCAGGGAGACGGGGGGGGGGCAGCGCATCATGGCTCGGGGCGGACGGACAGGAGGAGGAGCAACAGGGGGGGATGTTAACGAATCGGCTCACGTGGCTGGCTTCTGTGACGACTCCCGGCGCCAGAAGCGCCAATGTATCGGAGTAGGCGCCCGACTGCGGGACCGAAACCAGCTGCATGCAGCAAACTCCGTGCCCCCCCCTCCGTTCCCTACACCCTGCGAAATGCTTAAGAAATCATGGGTTAAGAAATTCATAGTCTCAGAACTTCAATAAAAACCCAAAATTCCTATTCAAATCTTAGGATTTACATTGAAACGTTAAGAATAATCGAGACTCTGGCCGAAAACTTGGGTTTTCTTAAGCATCGCCTAAGGTGTATGCCCACTTCCGTCCGACCCGAATGGCCCGAGGTATGCGCGCGGACGACATGGGTGCCAGGGAGTACATCAAAAAAAGAGGAGGAGGAGGCCACGGACTCTTGAAGTGTCATGTCCCTGGCCAGGTCTTTCCACACATACACCCTGCGAAATGCTTAAGAAATCATGGGTTAAGAAATTCATAGTCTCAGAACTTGAATAAAAACCAAAAATGTCCATTCAAATCTTAGGATTTACATTGAAACGTTAAGAATAATCGAGACTCTTGCCGAAAACTTAGGTTTTCTTAAGCATCGCCTAAGGTGTACACACACATTTTGATACCACCCCCTCTTGGACGCCCCCGACAACTCCAGTAACCCCCATGGCGCCAGCAGCGATTGCGAGGCAGCTCCTGGGAGGTCATCGTAGGAAGAATGATCGAAACATGTGCGGTCTGGACGCTCAGATGGCCAGCTCTGGAAAGCCCACCCGGAGGCCGCCCACATGGGGTCGGAGCAGGCGGGATCGGAGGATCGCACCGCATCGTTGTTGCATCGAAGGTGTCGGGATGGATAAAATCGGGCCCCGGATCGAACCGCAGGATCCGCAGACCCACTCTACTCGGACACCATGTGGGCGGCCTAAACCAATGGTGTCGGCATCAACCAGGAAGGCAACTCCTGCGAGGTCCTCGCAGAAACGAGTGAGAGCTGCGTTCCACGCCGAGTCCGCGTCGAACCCACTTCGGATACCAGAAAAGACCGCCATTCACACCACAAGCAAGGCCCCCCGAAGATAGGGAGCCCACAAAGGATGTACGCGCCCAGCTATGTACATGAACACGGCCCCTTGACCCGCGAGACCGGCCGCGCAATGCGAACATTCGCGCAACGCGAACTCTCGAAACCAGCGTGGACTCATGTACGCGTACGTCCTCCTCTCGCTCCTGAGAAGATGCAGCGCGACCCCCCCCCCTCCGCAGGAGATGGGGCACACGGACCGGACCAGACAAGTCGAGGGCCCCTCGGAAGCCACCCGGCCGCCCGAAGGCCGCGCCACGGGGCGGCCCCGCCTCGCTCCCTGCCGGCCCAGAAGGCGAAAGAGGGGGGAGGGGGAAGGGGGGGGGGCGCGTCGGCAGGAGGCTCTCGCGCAGGGGAGGAACGCCGCCCTGAAGTCGGCGATGCGCCGCCGATGGAGCCGCGCCAGGCCCCCGAGAGCGAAACCGCCCGCCCCTGGGCGCGGGGTGGGCTCCCGCGCCCGCCTCGGCGATCCGCTGGCGGTCGGGGCCGGCGCGTTGCCCC